ATTTTGTATCCTGCCACATTACTGAATTGCTGTATGAGTTCTAGTAGTTTGAGGGTAGAGTCTTTTGGGTTTTCCATATAAAGTATCATGTCATCTGTGAACAGAGAGAGTTTGACTTCTTCTTTGCCAATTTGAATACCTTTTATTTCTTTTTGTTGTCTGATTGCTGTTGCTAAGACTTCTAGTACTACGTCGAACAACAGTGACGAGAGTGGACATCCTTGTCGTGTTCCTGATCTCAAAGGGAATTCTGTCAGCTTTTCCCCATTGAGGATGATATTCGCTGTGGGTAGATTTTAGGAGGTTGAGGAATGTTCCCGCTATTCCTATACTTTGAAGGGCTTAATCAGGAACGGTTGCTCTATCTTGTCAAATCCTTTTTCTACATCAATTGAGAGGACCATGTGGTTCTTCTCTCTTCTCTTATTGATTTGTTCTATCACATTGATTGATTTGCAAATGTTGAACCACCCTTGAATCCCAGGGATAAATCCCACCTGGTCATGGTGGATAATCTTTTTAATGTACTGTTGGATCCTGTTAGCTAAGATCTTGTGGAGAATCTTGGCATCAATATTCATCAGGGATATTGGTCTGAAATTCTCCTTTATGGTGGGGTCTTTGTTTGGGGATTAGGGTAACGCTGGCTTCATAGAAAAAGTCTGGAAGTTTACCTTCTATTTCTATTTTTTTTTTTAAGATTTTATTTGTTTATTTGACAGAAATCACAAGTAGGCAGAGAGGCAGGCAGAGAGAGAGGAGGAAGCAGGCTCCCTGCTGAGCAGAGAGCCTGATGTGGGGCTTGATCCCAGAACCCTGGGATCATGACCTGAGCTGAAGGCAGAGGCTTAATTCACTGAGCCACCCAGGCGCCCCCTGTTTCTATTTTTTGAAACAGCTTCAGGAGAATAGGTATTATTTCTTCTTTGAATGTTTGGTAGAATTCTCCAGGGAATCTGTCAGGTCCTGGGCTCTTGTTTCTTGGGAGGTTTTTGATCACCGCTTCAGTCTCGTTACTAGATATTGGTATATTCAGATTGTCAGTTTCTTCCTGATTCAATTTTGGAAGTTTATAGGTTTCCGGGAGTGCATCCATTTTGTCTAGGTTGCATAACTTATTGGCATGTAACTGTTGATAGAAATTTCTGATGATTGTTTCTATTTCCTTGGTGTTAGTTGTGATCTCTCCCCTTTTCACTCTCTGGAACAGAGTAGAGAGCCCAGATATGGACCTGCAACTCTATGGTCAAATAATCTCCAACAAAGCAGGAAAAAATATACAGTAGAGAAAAGACAGTCTCTTCAATAAATGGTGCTGGAAAAATTGGACAGCTATGTGTAGAAGAATGAAACTCGACCGTTCTCTTACACCGTACACAAAGATAAACTTGAAATGGATGAAAGACCTCAACGTGAAGCAGGAATCTATCAAAATCCTGGAGGAGAACATGGGCAGTAACCTCTTCGACATTGGCCAAGGCAATTTCTTTCAAGACATGTCTCTAAAGGCAAAGGAAACAAAAGCAAAAATAAACTTTTGGGACTTCATCATGATCATAAGCTTCTACACAACAAAGGAAACAGTTAACAAAGAGGTAACCCACGGAATGGGAGAAGATATTCGCAAATGACACTACAGACAAAGGGCTGATATCCAAGATCTATAAAGAACTCCTCAAACTCAACACCCAAAACACAAATAATCACGTCAAAAAAATGGGCAGAAGACATGAACAGACACTTCTCCAGAGAAGACATGCAAATGGCTAACAGACCCGTGAAAAAATGTTCATCATCATTAGTCCTCAGGGAGATTCAAATCAAAACCACGTTGAGATACCACCTTATACCAGTTAGAATGGCCAGAGTCAACAAGACAGTAAACAACGTGTGTTGGAGAGGATGTGGAGAAAGGGGAACCCTCTTACACTGTTGGTGGGAATGCAAGTTGGAGCAGCTACTTTGGAAAACAGTGTGGAGATTCCTTAAGAAATTAAAAATAGAGCTACCCTATGACCTGCCATTGCACTACTGGGTATTTACTCCAAAGATACTGATGTAGTGAAAAGAAGGGCCATCTGTACCCCAGTGTTCATAGCAGCAGTGGGCACAGTTGTCAAACTGGAAAGAACCATGATGACCTTCAATAGACGAATGGATAAAGAAGATATGGTCCATATATACAATGGAGCATTATGTCCCCATCAGAAAGGATGAATACCAACTTTTGTATCAACATGGACGGGACTGGAAGAGATTATGCTGAGTGAAGTAAGTCAAGCAGAGAGAATCAATTATCATATGGTTTCACTTACTTGTGGAGCATAAGTAACACATAACATAACATAACATAACATAACACGGAGGACATCGGGAGATGGAGAGGAGAAGTGAGTTGGGGGAAATTGGAGGGGGAGACAAACCATGAAAGACTGTGGACTCTGAGAAAGAAACTAAAGGTTTGGGAGGGGATGGGGGTGGGGGGTTGTGTGAGCCTGGTGGTGGGTATCATGGAGCACTGGGTGTAGTATATAAACAATAAATCTTGGAACACTGAAAAAAAAATTAAATAAAAAAAAAAAACTACATCTTAACTAGCTTATTGTGGTGATTGTTTCACAACATATGCAAATATCAACTCACTGGCTCGCCGAAACTAATATGTCAACCAAACATCAATTAAAAAAATAAGTAAATGAAAATCCACGAACCCAAAACCAAAACAACAAAAACAACAAATATGTACTGTAGAGTGGGCTGCAAAATTTGCACATATTTTGAAGAAACGTCAGAGAAATTTCATGACTGTGGGGGGGCTATTTCAGGTTATGCCTCCACCCACATCCCTTTTATTCAAATTTACCACAATTAGAGGGTTTTTTTTAGAAAAAAGGTTTAAGAAACACTGGTGTGTAGGGGAGTGTTCAGGCTCTTTAACTAGCGTATCAAAAAGATCAGCAGAACCAGATTTCTCTCTTAACTTCTGAATTTCCCCTGTTGGCCCTTAAATAATGAAGAGCTTCTGGGTGTGTAGCACCATGTTTTTGAAAACCTCCTTGCCTTTCCCTCAGCAGTGCTCCAAACAGAACACCTGTCCTTGCTTCCCTTGACTTTTGAACTCAAGCTCCTCCCAACCCCCCACTCCCAGAGTTCTCCCCTCAGGCAGCACATTCTCCAGATTCCTCCTCTGACCTCCTGCTCTCCCCTCCCAAGCTGTCTGGATCCCATCCTCTGGGCACACTATTATCACTAGAAGTCAGGGCTAGCTGCCTTGTTTTATCGTGCCCATATTTCCTTCACAGAGACATCTTTCATTTTGTTCTCCTAGAAGGGCCATTTTCAAGTGCTCACTTGGACTTTCTTTCAGAAGGGAAGAGAGTCATCTGAATGGTGAGATGGGTCAGACCTGACTTCTGTGGGCCACACTGACAGGAAGGCAGAATGGCTTCCTTGAAAAGACAACTCGGGCCATCTCTGGGTTCTTTCGCTCATAAAAGTTCTTACGGACTCCCTCCAAGAAGGGCCAGCTCTCTCCACTTTTCCTCCAAAATAGTAAGCACATGTGGCAAGTCATCCCTTTTGTGGCTATAGCCTCACTGTGGTCCACTTGCTCTTTCAGTAATGGGCTGGGAGTGAGTTAACTTGGGCAGGGAAATAGGACATCCCACTGTGCTTGGCAATATAGCCATTGTCAGACAGCCCAGATAAAACTGACAGCTTCTGTTTGGGTCTGGTGTTATCTATGTATTCCTAATTAGTTAAATCCCAAGGAGAAGGAAATCTGTAACATCCAAAATATCACAATGATTTAAATTACCAGTTAAGTTAGTTCTACCAATTAGCCTATAAACTTCTGGAAGGCAAGACTACTATATCTTTCTTTATTGATGTACTTCCCTCAGTACAGAGTACTTGGCAGATAAAAGGTGCAGAATTATTTTATCTGTTAATTTTTTTCTGATTATAGAAGCAATGTAACATTCTAGAACAAAAGAATTCTGTAAAAATAGGAAATAAAAAGTGATCCAACAAACTAAAGATTATATATTAACAGAATATAAACTTGTATGCTTACTCTTTTTTACTATCTGTATATATGTTGTTTTACCAGAAAGAGAGATGATTTTATACATAGTTTTGTTTTTAAAAAACAATTTTTTGCAACATTAAATATTCTTCTCTAAGCTAATTTTCATAGCTGTATGGTATTACATTGGCAAATGAATAAAAAGTAGCCCTTTGATAAATAATATTTATCAGACATTTGTCAAGTGTTTTTTGTGTGTGTGTGTGCTTTGCCACATGGCTTATGTGCATTACTGTATCACTTCTTCCCAACTCTGGGACAGGAATTTTTATATATCCATTTATACATGAAGGAACAGAGGCTAATGAACATAAAATAGCTTGTCCAAGGTCACACAAGTATTAAGTGGTGAAACTGGGATTCAATTACACTTGATTTAAAACGAGAGCCTCTGTAACTTTTAAAAGGATATTCTGTAATTTATTTAGCATATATCCATTGTTGAGCATTTAGGCTGTTTCTGATTTTCTTGTAGTGATTAGTAATGCTGCTGCCTATGTTAGACGTCCTTAGAGCCAAATCTGGGTATATATTTTTGGTTTTGTGCTTCAAATAAATTCTTAAAAGTGAATTTTTGGTCTCAATTGTTTTTTCTAATTACAAATCTAGCATGTGCACAAAATGGAAAATTTGGAATATATAAAAAAAGCACAAAGTAATAAAGGAAAAACCACTTACAATAATTCCACCTTCCAGATAGTACTGTTTTAAATCTCACTTTCTCTCTAGCTTCTTCTTATGTGTATCATATACACACATTTATCCATAAACTATGTACATGTATATGTACACACAAATATAGTGTTATAGTTACATTGAATTGTATATCTTACCTTTTTTGTTATATGTTATAGAAAATGGTATGATATCGTTGCTATGTATATAAATGTATACACATATGTTTTCTTTGCAGGTAATCAATTAATTAATTGTAGAAACCATATTTTGGAGTTTAAGGAAAAAATGCTACGTTTAAAAAACAAAACTGAAAGAAATCGCCAAGAGCTGATCAAAGCCTTGAGTAAAATGAAGTATGAAATGACACAGAGAAAAAATATGTCCATAAACTTAGGTTTGTGTTGCTTTTGTTTTTACGTGTGGTGGTTTGTTTGTTGGTTTTGTGTTTTGTGTTTGGGAATTAAGATTTTGTGCTTTCTGATTTTAGGACACTTCTCCCCAACAAATATAACTAAATTAGTACTTGTTCTTTTATTGTGAGGCATACAAAAATCAGGTAAGAGATATCACTGATATACTTCCTCTCCTCTCTAGCTCAGAAATGGTCTTCCTGTGTTTTCCGTGTGACCTGCACCACCATCATGACCCATACACTAGATGGGCCGGAACCCTGAGTGTCCCTTTGACTCCTGCCCCTCCCCCCGCCTCCTGTCACATATGCCCACTTCAGTCAGTTCACAATCCTGAGTATCTCACAAATCTGTGCACATTTTCCCATCACCATCTCTGCTAGTCATGTCTCCTTCATGCCTCATCTGAATGACTGCTAACATACTTCTCTGTTTTTTCTCTTTCCCCAGAATTGTCCCTGCTTATTTCCACTGTAACCAAAGGGAAGGTTCACTGTCCTGTGTATCATCCTGCAGTGGCTCCCATTTCTCCAGGGTAAAAGTCCTGCCTCTGTTTCCCCTTTTGTAGTCAGGTAGTCCTCACTCTTAATCCCTTGCAACCACTAATCTATTCTCTGTTCTTAGAGTTTTCCCTTTCCCAGAATGCCATACGAATGCAATCATACAGTGTGCAATCCTTGGAGACTGACTTCTTTCACTTAGCAAAGATTCACTGAAGTTGTTATGGGACCAAATTTTTGTTGCCTTTATATTGCTGAGTAAACTATGATTACATGGATGTACAGTGGATACAGTTTGACTATCCTTTTACCAACAGGTGGTTTTCATTTTTTTGGCAATTACAAGTACGTGTTGCTGTAAACATTCATATACAGGTTTTTTGTGAAGAGAATTTTCTTAAAATTTTTTTTTCTTAAAAAAATTTCCTTGGGGTGCCTGGGTGGCTCAGTGGGTTAAAGCCTCTGCCTTCAGCTTGAGTCATGGTCCCAGGGTCCTGGGATTGAGCCCCGCATCGCATCGGGCTCTATGCTCAGTGGGGAGCCTGCTTCCTCCTCTCTCTCTCTCCCTGCCTCTCTGCCTACTTGTGATCTCTGTCAAATAAATAAATAAAATCTTAAAAAAAAATTTTTCCTTAAAAAATACATGTATATTATCCTGAATACATATCAAATGGATATGTGATTTGGAAATGCTTTCTCCCAATTTTGGCTAGTCTTTTCATTCTCCTTACGGTGTCCTTCAGAAAGCAAACATTTTTAATTGTGAAGTTCAATTTATCAATTTTTCTTTTTATATAATGTTTTTGATGTTATCTTTAAGAACACTTTACCTTCTTCAGGGTCATGGAGATTTTCTTTTATGTGTTTTTTAATTTTATACTTTCAGATTTTAAATTTGGGTCTATGAAACTTTCGAATTGATTTTTATAAATGGTGTGAAGTACTGGTCAAGATTCAGTCTTTTTCATTTGAATGTCCAAGTATTCTAGCACCGTTTGTCAAAAAGCCTGTCCTTTCTGCACTGAATTGCCTTTGCACCTTTTCCAGAAATCAATCGATAATATTTATGTAGATCTATCTCTGGATTTTCTATTCTATTCCATCGGTCTATATATCTTTTCTTAATGTAATATCACACTGTCTTGATTACTATATTATGTATTATGAATTAAATAGGGTGTGAGTCTTCTAATTTTGTTCTTCTTTTTCAAAATTTTAGAGGTATATTCAAATGAGTGGTCTAAGTAGAATCATTAAATGTTGAGCTACAAAACAATGTTCAGGATACAAACTATAATGTGATATTAATCAAAATAGCAGATCAGATCAATTATAGCATGTTTCAGTTGCACTTCATTCAGAACTGATAGTTCTGTTAGTCTCTGGTTATGTAGCTCATAGTGCTAGGCTTAAATATTACTTTTTAAATAAATGTGAATCAACAGTATTTGAACTATATTTTGTAGCCATATAATTTTAATAGTTCACATTTAATTGTATGTCTCATATACTGAATATTAAATGTTTATTTCATTATGAAAAATTGTACCAGAGAAAAATCCCTACGGTCATGTACTTAGAAACCCTATTTTTTCTTTCTTTCAGTTGAGAAGAAAATGAATACATTGGGTAAGAGTGAAACAGCATCTAATACATTTGAAATCCTAAAGTTCTTTTTTCCTCATCTAAGGAAAGCAGGCAGAATTTATCCTGATGTAATCATTGGCAAAGAGAAAACAGGTGGTAAGCAAACTTAGAATTAGAAAATCAAATATAGATATTTTGATCTTTGAGGACATGCTTTTAAGTTTTGTTGTCTTTTTTGTTTATTTAATTTTTTAAAGATTTTGTTTATTTATTTATTTGAGAGAGAGCGTGAGAGGGGGAAGGGCAGAGGGAGAAGCAGCCCCCTGCTGAGCAGGGAGCCAGATGCAGAGCTCCATGTGGAGCTCCATCCCAGGACTTCAGGATCATGACCTAAGCTGAAGGCAGTCACTCAACCAACTGAGCCATCCGGGTGTCCCTGTTTATTTAATTTTTAAAATAGGCTCCATGCCCAATGTGGAACTTGAACTAAGAATCCTGAGATCAAGAGCTGAATCCTCTACCAACTGAGCCAGGCAGGCGCCCCTTAAGCTTTTTTTGAACACTTCTCTAATTATTATTGTGCTTGCTTTTAAGTTTTAAAATGTAATCCATTAATATAATGCTCTGATATATAGGCCGCCAGCCTATGTGGCATTAATTTGGACTGTCAGCAATGACCTGGCACAAAAAAATTGACCAACAGATATTTAGACTTGAATTCAAATTCAATTTGAATACAGATGTTTTGAAAAATAGGTCATTATAAGCCACATACACATTTGACTTATATTGAGCATCTGCTAAGTACCGGACAACACTGGTCTCCCTTGGTTTTGATCAATTCATTCTTACCTGGTTATCTTCCTATTTCCCCATCTTTCTGGTGACCAAGGTCAGCAAAAACTTTATAGAAGACGTGATGTTAGCTGATCCTTAAAGCATGAATTTAACATCAGCAGGTATTGAAGAAGAGACAAGCATTTAAGTTAGAAGTAGGGATTTTAGGGCTAGTCCCACAGACCTTGTTTATTCTAATGAGCCAGTCACTCTAGGCCAGCGGCTGCAAATTGCATCCCACTGGCCAAACCTGCTACTTGACAGTAAGATCTGGTTGGAGCCTCGTCAGTATTCATTCTTACTTGTCTGCGGCAGAATGGAGTAGTTGTGACAAAGACTGTATGGCCCGAGAGCCAAAGGTGTTTACTGTCTGGTGCTTTCCAGAAAAAGCTTACTGACCTCTGTCTGATCTATGTGGCTCCTAGGGAATGAGTAGTGCTGTTCCATAGCACATGCCTCTGCCAAGCCTGCTGTGCTGGGATGGGGGTGCCCGCATGTCCTTTAGTATCTGAATTCTCCCTGTGTTCCATAGACGGACTTACTGTGCGTGCTTGCTTGCTTGCTTTTTTTTGTTTTCTCTCATTGTCTCATTTGACCCTCACAACCCACTACAGCAAGACCTATGATTATCTCTATTTTACACCTAAGGAAATTGAGGTTTAGAGATATTAAGGTGCTGCCTGGGATCACACTTGAGTCTTTAACTGCGTCAGATTCCCTCTTGGGAGTATTTTGAATGTGGCGTGTGTGTGTGTGCATAGACATGCATACATGTGTGTGAATATATGAGAAAGTGTGTGCTACCCCAATGCTATAGGTAACAGGAGGAGGAGAGGAAAGACATAGGGAAAAAACCCCAGTATACAGACACTATAAAATACAAGATACCAAGAACACTGTAAGATACGAGATACCAAGAATAAACATAGCCTTAAATAAACATCAGCCAAGATAAGCAGAAGCTCGTTCCAGAGAGTGAAAGGAGGGAGAGATGTTTGTAATCTGGAAGAAGAGCAGAACTCGTTTAGGGGTTTTGGGATGTTGAGGTAACCTAGTTAGCAGAATTGTGTTAAATCCTGGATAATTTTCTGATTCCCATCTATTTCCTGATTTCCATCTATGCTGTATATATTGATTTTCCTTTTGAGGCCCCTTTGGTGGATTTTCATAGGTTCTTGGGAGGATCAGTTTGCCTATAAATCTTCAATACCAGAGGTAATTTAAAAGGAGATTTTTTTCCCCCTGGTAACTGAAAGATCACAGCACATAATATGTTTGTAAATGCACTGAAGCCTGTAGCAAGGCCTACAGGGGAATCTGTGACCAGTCTTATTTGTTCTATATTCTGAGTATATCTCAAGTAATTTCTGCTCTCTACCCGCTATAGCTGTTCTTTCTGAGCTTTCATTTCTTGCGCAGTGTATTGAAATAGACTTGTAAACTGACTAAAGTCAATCCATTCTTCATACCCTCTTCAGAGCTACGTACTAAAATGCATAACGCATAACGTCATGCTCAACCCTTGCTTAAAATCCTTTAGTGGATCCTCAGGACATAGAGGGTGAAGCTAGCTCCTTGCACAATAGACTGTATCTTTCAAATCAGTTTTTGCTACTTCCCCTCCTTTCCAGCAACCCCAAAACACTTAGAGGCCCTATGAATAAGCCAAGTGATTAGCACAAGCTGATCGCTGCCTGCAGTGAACCCGCCACCTCCTACCGACCACAACTAACTTGTCACGTAAGTCCCTTCCCCAGTACGACTTTTCAGCTTAACTGACAACTTCTTTGTGCAGTCCTCCCATGTCCTCAAGTAACCAGCTTCTACCAGACATGGCCCTCATCCTCCTGCATACAATAAACCATTGAGAAGATATTCATATTCAGGAGAATATCTTTATGACCTAAAGATAAACAAAGATTTCTCAACAGGAATCAAAAAAGCACTAACTTTATATAAAGGACAATCCACAGCTACTCCACAGCTAACAATCCACAGATAACTGGCATTTGTTCAGGCAGAAAATGAACTTTGTGATAAAAATTAATAATAGTTTGGGTAATTTTTATAACTTAGTTTTGGACACTACTTATGACCATACAACTAACCCAAATGCAGTAATAAGCATAGCTATTAATGATAAATTGTGTTTTTCTCTATGGTTTGAAATGATGATTCCACACTCTTCTGTCTGCAGTCTCTTTTGCACTGGGTATTTCCACTGTTAACAGAGGAAATCAGAGTTACCTGAAGCAAACACTGAATTCCGTTGTCTCCAGGATGACTCCTTCAGAAGAGAAGGACTCTGTGGTGATCGTCTCTGTCGCAGATGTACGTATGAAAAATAAGTGGTTCTCCTTGTGCCAAGTCTATGGTCTCCAAATACCCTTCCCCCCTGGTAATTGCTGTATCGTTTTGGATTTTTTTTCCTGTGATCTCTCTCTGTCAAATAAAATAAATAAATAAATAAAATATTTAAATGAAATATTTTATAATATTTCAGTGTAGCAAATAGCTGGTGATTCAATTTATGGCTATCTTAAGAACTTTAAGTACTGTCAGAGGTATCTGCATCATGATGGATATTTTAAAATAAGCGGTCTGACTATATACAGTTTAGAGTACTCAGATTTGACAATAGAAATGTTATTCAAAATTTTACAGAATTTCATATTAGGGATGCTTCGGGTCCTGAGGCAATACTGTGTAATGCTAATCACTTTTGTAAAAAAAAAAAAAAAATCTGAGAATGTACTACCAAAAGCTATTTACAAATGAATCTTTTATCTAATCTAGCACAGAATTCGATAAAGAGTAGGCACACAAGGTTTGTTGATGAAAGAAAATTTGGGAATCAAGCTGAGTAATACCATCTGGAAAACTGTGGTATAGTTTTTTTTTTTTTTATAGATTTTATTTATTTGACAGAGAGAGAGAGATCACAAGTAGGCAGAGAGGCAGGCAGAGAGAGAGGGGGAAGCAGGCTTCCCACTGAGCAGAGAGTCCGATGCAGGGCTCGATCCCAGGACCCTGAGATCATGACCTGAGCCGAAGGCAGAGGCTTAACCCACTGAGCCACCCAAGTGCCCCAAACTGTGATATAATTTTGAAGTACATTTATTATCCTATAATACTCATAAAATGAAGACATTTTCAAAAAGAACAGTTCTTAGAAATAAGCCATCCCATTTTTAGGACAAAACTGTTTTAGATACATAGGTTTTTGCATACTAATTTTTTTTTTAAAGATTTTATTTATTTATTTATTTGTCAGAGAGCGAGAGAGAGAGAGAGAGAGAGAGAGAGAGACAGAGGGAGAACACAAGGTGGCAGAGCGGCAGGCAGAGGCAGAGAGAGAAGCAGGCTCCCTACTGAGCAAGGAGCCCGATGCGGGACTCGATCCCAGGACTCTGGGATAATGACCCGAGCCGAAGGCAGCAGCTTAACCAACTGAGCCACCCAGGCGTCCCTTGCATACTAATTTTTAAGTGTAAATAATGTGTAGTGATATTTTGTACTGTGACAAAAGGAAGAATGAAATATTTTCAGTATTCAAATTGGGTCTTTAAGACACGTGGGTATTTTAAATTCTTTTATAGACAGTGGAAAAACAAAAAGTTCTTAGGAAGCAATGCCATTCCCTGCCTAAACTAAACTAATGTGTAGCAACCATATAGTAGCAAAACTATGAGGCGTGCTTAATTTCAGTGAAATATTTTTCTCATTTTTAGGGAAATGAAGATTATTTAAAATCTGTTGTTGACATGATTACAAAAAGGTAAGTAGTGTTTGATAAGTTTGAAAATAGCTGTTCTTTCATTTTTCTGTTTTATTTTTTCTGCCCAATTATATTATTGTATTAGTGATCATATTCCTTCTGATGAGCGTAGCTGTATAGAAAGAACTACTTGGAACTACGGGTCGTTCTAAGCTGTTACAAAGTATAGCTTATAACTTTCCCCAGTTTTGTTGGTTGTCTGCCTGATAAAACCCAGCTTGTGCACGTTATCATCGCTGTATCTATTCTCCACGAAATCTACCTCCTCTGAAAAAAGCCTACTAGATTATTTTTTAAGCACTCTCGTGTTCCTTACTGTATGAAGTCACATTCTCCACTTCTGCTTACAATCTCCTGCCGGATGTAGCCTGGGAGGGGCGAGCACATGATGATGAACCAACATGAAGCTATTTATCAAGCAAGATGCTGTGGAATGGACGCAGCCTTTCAGATCTTTATGTTCAAGTGGTTGATGCAATTGGTAAGGAACAAATCACAGCCAGGAAGCTGGTGTTTGGTGCTGGTATGGAGAGGGCAGCATGAGAACACGTAGACAGGGAAGCCTTCCGCTCTACCTGCAAGATAGAAAGAAAGTAATAATTGAGGCTGAGTCTAAAGCTGTAAGTAGATTCTGTTAAAGCAGATAAAAGGAGAAAGTGAATGCCTGGCAAATAGAATTGCTTGAGAAGGCAGAAAGGCCAAAAAGGAGCCCGCTAGATTTGTGGAAATGGAAGTGTATTGTGGAGTGTGGGTGTTTGGGATTAAGGAAGGAGTATCAGTGGGAGCTCAGTCGGGCTGTGATAAGATCGTGAAGAGCTTGGGTAACAGGCTGAGCATTATGCACTTCATGCTACAGACTAGGGTCGCAAACGCGGCCTTCAAGCAGAATCTGGCCATCAGACAAGTTTGGCTTCGCCAGCAAGGTGTTTCGTTTTGTCTCCTTACCAGATAGCTCAAGGCGGGGGAAGCAAAGTTGTTTTCATCAAAAAAATTCTAGCTAATAACTGCAGAATGAATGGAATTAGAAAATCACCATTTCGAAACAACTGGTTCAGGCATGTCCTTAAGGGACATGTGGACCAGGCCCTTTACCAGGAAGGTGTGCCAGCCAGCCTCCAAACAGGAAACCTTTGGTCATTCAGATAGAGGGAATTCAGCACAGAAAATTGGTCAAGAAAGTGTTGACAAGGGCTGAGAGAACAAAAGAGAAGAAAGGAAGTGGGAGAAGCATAAAGGGTGCTGGGGTTATAGCCCCGCAACCCCCAGCCCCCCACCCCCCATCCCCCACCCCCCATCCCCCACCCCCCATCCCCACAGCCAACGCTGGGCCGCTCCTGCTGCTGCTGCGCTGTGGAAAATGCCCGGATGGCAGCGCTGGCCCGCTGCCGGAGCTGGGCACTCTACCCACTCCATGACCTCCTCCTGCTCCCGTCCTGCTGCTGCTGCAGACTTCCCCCAACCCCAGAGTAGGAAGCAGAACCTCCTCTTTGACTGCCTTCTAATCTCTTGATACTGCCTGCCATCTGCAGAACCTGTCTGGAAGCTGGCTGGCAGGGGGGCCGGGGTTGTGGCCTGCAGAGGCCCTGGCCCTGCAGTCCCGGCAGAGCGGAGTGTGAGAATGGGGCTGAGGCCAGATGCGCAGCCGGCAGCAAGGGCTCGGGTGCCCTCCCCTGAACCTCAGACCAGTCTCAGCATCACTGCCGCTAAGGCAGTCAGACATGCGGTGGCTTCTGTTGTATAGTCAATGAAATCCGCTGTGAAATAGCTAGAGCAGATTATTCCCCCCTGCCCTCCAAGATACAATGTAACAGAACAGAACAGCCTTTTTTTTTTTTTTTTTTCAGTTTCAGAGGCAGAATTTCCCGACCCATCCGTTGCATCTAACACCCATCCATCACGTCCCTCCTTAATGCCCCTCACCCAGTTACCCCATCCCCCTCCTCCCCTGCAGCAACCCTGTTTGTTTCCTCTGACTAGGAGTCTCTTACGGTTTGTCTCCCTCTCTGTTTTCCTCTTATTTTATTTTTCCTTCCCTTTCCCTATATTCATCTTCTTTGTTCTTAAATTCCACATATGAGTGAAATCATATATTTAAGACAGAACAACCTTTAGTATAATCTGAAAGCCAGTGTAGAGTATGCACAGTGAACAGAGGAAGCAATCCGTGGTAACCACTAGGATGCAGGACATTCTATAGGACAGTTGACCCATTTTTGAAAAAAGATAGCTGAGGGAAAAAGAGAAGAACTGAAATGACTGGTGTGGATAATAAGTTTAAAAAAGAAGGAAGAAATAACTGGTTATAATGAGAGGACCTTGATAGTCCCTGGAGCACCCCCTCCCCACCCCCTGTCTTCATCAATTAGTTACTTGTTAGGATAATGGGCTTATTTGAATATCAACTGAATGTTCTGTGATGTTAAAATTCTTAGCCTTGTAAGGTGTGATAATGGCTTGTGATTGTGTAAATAAATGTGCTTTTTTGATTTTGACACTGAAGATTTAAAGGGTGAGAACTGATTATCTAGGATTTGTTTTAAAATACTTCAACAAGAAAAAGGGGGCTGAATGGATGAAACAAGTGTGATTAAAAAAAAGTAATGCTTATTGAAATCAAGTGATCAGGGATTCATTATAGTCCCACTTTTGTGTCTGTGTTAATTTTCATAATAAATTTAAAGATGTAAAGAATTGAATTAGGCTATTCTCAGCAAGCTGGACTGATGGGGAGAGATGTTGAAGCACAGCAGCCTAAAGGAAAACGTGATTGGCAGGGTGGGTCTGGAGATGGGAGCCCCAGGAGTGGCTCTGTACCTGTGCTCTTTCATCGCTCACGGATGGGAGGAAGCTGATGAATAAAGTCTCTGGGGGTTGGGGAGGGGGGAGTTGGATGCAAGGTACACAGGGCAGGAGATTTAGGGGAAAAAGATAGGAACCGGTGAAGGAGTAGGAAAAAATAGTTTGAGAAAGGAGGGTGAAATGAAAGCATTCCCTCCTTAAAGGATTTTCTTTTCTCTGTGAAAGAAAGATAGTATGTTGAGAATGAGTGATTTATTGGCAGTGAACTTGACCTTGAGGATGGTAGTGAAGCCTTGAAGTAGATGATGTGTGTGGAGGGAGATAGAACTGGTAGAGATTAACTAAAACACCCTTGTATGTCTAATTTTACCCCAAAAAGATTTCCCAGGGAAAAAAGTTGTCTCATACTTGAATCCTTAAAATGTTCTCATATTCCAGGGTAGCCTCTCTTGGTTGCTTTATTCTGCATAATAAACCACTGCTTGAAGAAGACACATTAGCCTGAAATGACTTAAATTTATGCTAGTTTGGTGTCCTTATAAGGGAGTCTTAACAGAATCCGTTACAAAGAAGGCAGAGGTTTGCAAACAATTTCTAGGGATATGTTTTGAAATCCTTTGAAGATGACTAAAAAATTACAGTACGTGGTTACTTGTGGAGATCACAAATAAAAATACTACTTGGTGTATAAAAAAACTTATGTTTTGCTATAAAATGTACAGTCAATGTCACTAACTAGAATTTTAGTTAGACTTAATAATCATGTGTACCAGAGAACGATGTTAGATGATTCAAAAAAGAGATTCTCGTGATTATGAGAATGTTAATGTCAATACAGGATAAAGAGTTGGAGTAAAATTGTTTTATTTTTTGTGAGAATAGAATACAACTATAATTTAAAAATAGATCTTATAGAATATGCAATTTTTAAAAAAGATTTTATTTATTTATTTGATAGAGAAATCACAAGCAGGCAGAGCAGTAGGCAGAGAGAGGGGGAAGCTGGCTCCCTGCTGAGCAGAGAACTCACTGAGCCACCCAGGCGCCCCTAGAATATGCAATTTTAAATGAGATTGTATCTAAGTTAATGTAAACTCGTAGCTTTTCATTTCTATACATAAATTTTTATATATTTAACTTAGCCAAAACTCTTTGCTAGGTCTCCTCATTGGGGTTAATGAAAGATTGCTCTGTATTTTATTGGTCTTAAATTTGAGACTGTAATTGTTAAAGGATCCAACTAAGGTTATATATAACCTTCATATAAGGTTATATATATATAAGGTTATATATAACCTTAGATGAAGCTGTATATAACTATTACTTTATTTTACTTTATTAAAACTATACAGCTATAAAGCTTCCACTTTTTTATAATAACAAGGTAGAATCATTCATTTATAATGGCAACAATGTATAGTTATACCATTTTCCCTAGTCACTGGCAGCTAGCAATTCTGGTATCATTATCTCAAGAACTTTTGATGCTATCCATAACCTAATAAGCTAGAAAAGATTTAAAGAATCCTAGAAAGGTGTCCCCACACAGGATTTCAAAGGTCTTGCTTAAGACAGACTGAATAAAACTGAGCCTGGAATCTTTCTCTTTATTAGTAATGGGAAATTATACCATCAAGAAAGAAATTATTTGTAACTTGACTTTTGTTGCCTTGGTACTTTGCCTGAAATTTTCTGGAGGATAAAATCTACTTACAAACATCTGTAATCCAAACTTTTTGTGATTGTATATACTGCAACTTAATGTTATTTTCACTTGCCTCTGCTATTCTAAATTGCTATAAAAAGTTATGCAATTTAACTTTTAAAAAATGTAGATATTATGTTAGTAATTTTTACCGCAAACCAAATAGAAATCCTCATTCTTTTCTTCCATACCAATATTTTCTACTCCTCAAGGAACATACTAAAATGGATTTTTAAAAAACTTTTCTGGGACGCCTTGGTGGCTCAGTCGGTTAAGCAACTGCCTTCAGCTCGGGTCATGATCCCAGGGTCCTGGGATGGAGTCATTGGGCTCCCTGCTCAGCAGGGGGTTCTGCTTCTCCTTTTGCCTGCTGCTTCCCCTGCTTGTGCTCTCTCTCTCTCTGACAAATAAATGAATAAATAAAATCTTTTAAAAAATAAAAAACCTTTCTATTTGATATACCATTAAATCAGAAGAGCCAGTAAGCCTTTCATCCCCTGTACTCACCCATTTACACTCCCACCTAAAAAAATAAATAAGGAAAAAAAAAACAAAACTCTTCCATTGATACATAGAGCCTGGGAAGAATCTATGTATGTAGAAGAATTCTTTCCTTACCCGGGTATGTATTGCTATTCCAGTTTTACAGATGAAGAAACTGAAGGTCAGAGAAAGTAAATGACTTGCTCAAAGTGTGTTAAGTGAAGGATGCAAAATTGGTAGAGACCCTTTTCTGGATCTCACTTTCTCTCTAGCACTGCTAGAGGTTGCTGCTGCTATCCCATGCTCATGATACATACCTATTAGGAAACATCTGGAAACCATTTAAAATGCAAATGAAAGGAATACAATTGTCCACATTCCAATGGCACAAGGAGGCAACAAGACCACATGTTTTGCTGTCTGTAAGTAAACTGAACAACAGAGTAGCAGTGATCAGGCACCCATAGATTCTGAAAGAAGCAGTGAGATGGTGAGGTGATGATATGCAATTTATGTAGTGATTTGTGGACTGAAGAGTCAGAAGCAAGTTCGTACTTTATGGAATTGTTCGAGGTTAATCCAGTGTGAAGACTCAAATTCAACCAGTGTTGTTGAGGGAGAGCTGTTATTTAACTGACACATGGTAACAGATTCATGCATAATAGAATTGTGCAAAGTGAGGACTACTTATTTTGCACATAATAGAGATTCTGCATATAAAACCCCATCTTGCTTTTTCACCTATTAGCATAAAACAAACATTTTCTTGAGACTTTAGCATTTCAATAAATAATGTAATGCCTAAATTTAAATCTCATTTAAAGTCATATTATCTATGTCTAAAGGAGAACCATTTAATGTTCTACCTGGTGTGTCCTGTCCTTTACCTTGATGGTACAAAACGTGTATTACAGGTTTTGTGAGCAATATTTCATGCATTTTAATAATATCCTAGTTGGTCTATAAATATTAACTTTAAAGATTCTGAAAAGCATACATAGTCATCCAATGAGTTGTGGACAAGTCACACTCATTCAGCAGCCATGAGGGTATTCAATAGGACATTTACTAAACTCAAAACTATGCACTTTAAAAAGTCATCTAATGTTCTATGCTAGCTTGTTAGTTCCATTATTTTGAATCTTTTAGAGTACATACCTGATTGTAAACTTGCAAAATTTCAAAGTGCCTACAATTTTTACAAAAGGAAATTAATTTTATATTGTATTTTTTAACTTTGTTAGGTTGCTTACTAATTTGTAAAAGAAATAGACTAAAAAGTATTAGTTTTATCCAAAATGTGGATATCATGTATCAACATGTGAAATAATTCAAATACAAATGTTATGTGGATATGCACAAAGACATTCTTTTTAAATATCTGTTATTTTGGTAAATCAAATATTAAGTTGCAAGCTTCCAATTACTTCTGTTTACAGATTCAAAAGGCAACTAAGGTCTGGATCATTAGAAATCATTTCAATACCTGCCTTTTTTTATCCAAACATATTACACGTCAAGCAGTCAACTGAGGACTCCGGAAGATCAGAGAGGTATGACGTACTACCTTAAATAACCTCATCAGATGTAATGTGGGAACCGGCATCCGATAGATCCCCATCTCAAACCGCAGCCAGCTCCTGTTAGCTGCATCCAGCAGCGTTGAGTCGGTAGCATGAAATCAGCCATGGTAGGAGCATTTACACCACGGAGATGGGCAAAACACAAACCGTGGTTCACCCTCACCCTACTCCCCGAAGAATCAGTTGTTAAAACATTTACCACCAGCATGCCACTGAGTATCTGTGTTCACGTTGTCAGCCAATAATTAGCAAGGGTGTAAGGAAGGGGGAAAGACTGGAGTTATAAATTATTACAGGTACATTCTAGTTCCAGTTTTTTTGTTTGCCGTAGGTCATCCTAGACAGGTAGTTTAGACTTTGTCTTCTTACCTTCCTCTGCTTTCCCTAGTGCATAATAAAATCTACAATATATATTTGGGAAAGTCATTGTAAGAATAAAATATAGTATTTATGAAATAATTTTGAAAAAAGGTCTATACATGTATAAAGGATCACTATTGTTTGATTATAAATGTCATAGGTATTATAAGAAGTGTAATGATTTGGTTCCTCAGAATTACTAGAGTAAAAGAAATGTCAGAATTCAGAAAAAAGTTTGATCCCAGAAAACTTATTAGCTCTGTTTTGTTTAATGGTAATAAATGGTATGTTAGAATCTGGAAATCTCTTAGGGATTTTCCTTTGCTTTAAATTAAGTAGTCAGTTCTTAGAGTCATAAAGCTGGGAGACATTGTAGGTCCTGTTTTTCCTTCTGCTCTTTGTGTCTCCATCATCATTTCTTCTTCTTCTTCTCCTTCTTCTTCTTCTTCTTCTTCTTCTTCTTCTTCTTCTTCTTCTTCTTTTTTTAAACAATCTCTCTCTGCGTTATCCCCCTTGTCTCCATTCCTCTGCCTTGGACTTACTTCAGGCCATCCATGATCTATTTGTTTTCCCTAAGCCTAGCCTAGCCTGGCCTCTCTTCCAGTTCATTCTCCAAGTGTAGCCAGAATACCTTTTTCATAAGAGATCAGGTCCAAAGTTTCCTTCCTGATCTCGTCTCTGCCCACCTCCCCATCAGCAGCTTTTCTGTCCTCTCTCGGTGCTCTGGATCTAAGGTGGCATGCTCTCTCGTGCGTTTCATGTCTTGGCAATACTGGTCCTCCCACTGAATGCCCGGCCTCCCGATCCACCCGTCCCATCTTATTTTACGTCGTCATTGCCAATGTCTCTGTAGAGCACTTACCTAATCATTCTGATTTTATTACTTTTCTGTCTTTTCATACTGGATTATGAAACTCAGAAGGGCAAAACTGCATCGTGTCTTGCTCTTTGTATGTTCAGGAAGTGGCCTAAACCTAGCTTAGTATTAAATTAGAATAGAGTTTCTTCTTTATTTTTATTTGAACAAGACCTAAGGCCAGAGATACTATTAACTTTACTACACAGGTCAGAATTCAACCAAAACTTAAAATAGATAGATTATGCTTCTCCTAGTGTAGTGATGGCAGATAAGGTCCACTGAATAAAGATGGGAAACATTTTAATACAACTTTTCACTGTAACATATTCAATTGCAACTACTGTAGATAGTACTCTATGTTAGCAAAGCGTAAAAAATTGTTTTAATTACTGAAGTGTGCTTATAAATAAAATTATATAATAATGACAAATATTAACAGATTTTATTGCTGTCTTTAGTTGGCGTATCAAACAAGTACTGGATTTTTGTTTTTTGATGCTGTATGCCCAACCCAAGGCCATGTATTATTTACAGGTAAGACCGTGGTGTATGTGTGTATGTGTGTAATATAAAGTGGAAGTATCATGTTCTCCTTCCCTCTTTTGATTCCTTCCTTCCTCATCGTGTTCCTCCACCTTACTTTGTATTCAGGAAATACTTAATATATTTAAGTTCCAAAAGGAAGTTTAGAGTTGATTTTATGTAAGTCTTCTTGCTGGATTTACTGTTAACAAAGGAAATTTTAGTTACCTGAAGCAAACTGTAAAGAAATTCTCAAATTAGGAAAAAAATAGAAATTATGCTCCTTACGTTTCTCTTCCCACAAATTTCTTACATTAGGCAGATGTATTTTGAGCACTTTACAGCGTGTCAGACAGTGTGTATGCTTACCATTGGTTCCCTACATAGGCTCGCATTGTATGTTCAACCCAGTGCTACAGTGCCTTTCAGCATTTCTGAAATAAAGCAATTATATGTAGATTGAATTCCCTGAATTCTGGTGTATTGTTAAATAATAGTGTTATGTTTCCCAGCAGTGAGTGTACTCCTTACTATGTGTGACAATATGTAGTTGTAAGAAGAGTTTGCAAGACATCATTGGAGAAGAGAGAATGTTAGAAAAATGCCCAAAGCAGGGTCCTCTCTTTTATTGGAAGAAAAAAAAAATCTTTTGATTCCTAGTTAGTGGAATGTAACAGAAACACGAGATCCAGCCAGTGAATTCTTCCCAATTTTACAACAATGCAGTTCTCCTCTTTTTTGCTCTGGTCATATGCTTGAGGACTTTCACATTTTTCTGAATCATTTAGGAGGCTTTTTTTAGTGCATAGATTACACATAATATATATCAGATTTAAAAGAAAGGAAAATTCTAGTTTTCCTTTCCCCCTTTCTTAGGGAGAACTATTCTTAGGCTTATGTGCACCATCATTCTACCCAGCTGGTGGTGGATGAGAGTGCCGGTTCCCTTTTGTCATCTCTTGGCGATAGGACTTGGCACCTGTCATTTTGAACATAAAGCTAGTTGGCCTTAAATTAGAAACGGAAGTATTTGTAAGGATGAAAATGGATTCAGGTAAGCCATTTTTTTTTTTTTTCCAGTGAGGATTTAGATTGAGTGTTCCATATTATTATTTAGGAAAGAAACCTATCATCTCTGGTCTCAGAATCCGAAAGTGAAAACTAACAGTAGAAACCCTCAGCAACTTGAACTAAAAATAAAATTAACCTCATAAAAACATTTTCTTTAGTGTATGCTGTTGAAAGTATTTTCAATTCTCAAATGAATGCAACTTAGTCAATGGAAGTATCAAAGTTACTAATGACTTTTTGTTTGTTTTTTTTTTTCCAGCTAGAAGATGATATCATAGCTAAAAAGACATACTTTACAAAAATCACAGATTTTGTGCATAATATCACTTCAAAAAATTGGTTTTATATTGAGTTTTCAATTCTTGGATTCATAGGTAAACAATATATCTATTTTTAAGCACACAGGAATCTTAAAAGTTCTTAAGAACTTATCAGTTTGGGATGCCTGGGTGGCTCAGTTGGCTAAGCGACTGCCTTTAGCTCAGGTCATGAACTTGGAGTCCTGGGATCAAGTTCTACATTGGGCTCCCTGCTCAGTGAGGAGTCTACTTCTCCCTCTGACCCTCCCCCTTCTCGTGCTCTCTTTCTCTCATTCTTTCTCTCAAATAAATAAATAAAATCTTAAAAAACTTATCAGTTTGTTAATAAGTGGAAAGGAATGGCATGATTTCTATAAAGATACTTTTTAAGATAAGATCAAATTCAAGTATCTGAATTTCAGAAAATGTATTTTCAAACCAATTTTTTCCTAGATGGACAATATAGATTAGCAGGTTGACATATACATATATGTTATAAAAATGTAGGAAAGATACCACTTGCTAAGTGCTTGCTGAGAGTCTGCAAGTTCAGTGACTAAGGCGTACTTCTCGATTTTATGTAGAAAAATAGTTTCAGTTTACATAGAAACTCAAAGAATTAAAGTTCCAGAGAACGGAATTCTAACTTAGGACTCCTGTACTCTAAATTCCTTGTCACTTCCGGTATGCCAAAGCTGACCTACCTAGAAAAGTATAAAAATATGTGAATCGGACACCGAGGAGTTCCTAAAATTGTGCCCATGATGTGATTTTTAAAAACATTTCTTCTATGAATTTTCTTTTGCTTCCTTCCACTCTCTCCACTCTTCCTTCTACACTTTTCCTTTTATTTGAACTTTGAGGTAGCAAGTCGAATGACCTTACTCATTTCATGGTGCACGTCATCGTTTCTTCATGCAGGAGCCTTCTCTTATTTTATTCTTTTGCTTTAGGCCCAGTCCCTACTCCCACTTCCTCCCACCCCCCCCCCCAACAGGTTTGTGCTCTACTGTGTTCAAAGAATACATACAAATATGCATGCATTCCTGTCAATACTTGGTGTTTATCACGTTTGTACCTGCTTAAAGTTTACAAAAACAGGTGATGTGATAAGCTTATTCATGCCCCTTACATTTTTGTCCTTGAAACTAGATTTTAAAACTGCCGACATGTCGATTTATGCCCGTTTATTGTTCCTCCTGCTGTTGCATAAGCCCTACATAATAATCCATTTAATATATCCAGCCTCAGAGTGGTTGACCTTGATTGCTTCTAACTCTGCTGCCACAAAGAAATGAAGTGGCATATATGTCCCCAGGAGCAGAACCACAGAGAGTGAATGTAGCAGTGTCTCTACGTAGCCAGATTGCTTTGCAGATTGACTGTACTGTTTATACCCCCCTAAACAGTGTGTAGGAAGGAGTTCCTGCTTCCCCATATGCTTGACAGTATTTGATTCTTTCTGTTACTTACTTTTTTTTTTTTTTTTTTTTTTTTTGCCACTGGGAGGAGTGTAAAGCATTTCTCTGACTGCTCGTGAAATCTGCTATTCATATATTTACTTGATCACCACCTTTCCCATACTTTTTTGTTAAGTGTTGTAGAATCCAATTTTAAGACCTTATTTTGCTCAGCTTTGATTTAAATAAGAAGAATTATAGGTAGCAGTAATACCTGGTGAGCTTGAAGAGGAAGTAAGCTTATTGATACATTGCTTTGTGAACTATAAATTCCTTTTTATCTTTTTCACCAAAGTCAGGTGTGAGAAGTTGGAGAATATTCACATTCTGATCACAGGAGCACATTGAACAGGAGCACTATATATGTAAAGCTGAAGTCTTATTTAAGCTTAAGTTTATAAGGGCTTTGTTTTCTGTTGTTATAATAATAATTTTCTTACTCAATATTACCAAAACTATGAGTTTGCTAAGCAGAATTTTATAGCATACTGACAGCAGATAAGGAAAATACAAATACTGAATCAACTATTTCTATCATTAAAACTTGGTCACCGTATATACTGGTGCCAAAAAAAATTAAAATACAACTATACATTTCACTAAGTAACCCATACAGACTTAGCTCCTAGTGAAAAAAACCGAAGCATGCTTACTTCCTACCAGCATGTTTATTAAATGGTTAGAGTTTTTTATACTATTTACTTTAAAGTGAAAATTTACCTAATTTTATACCTTCAACTTAATTTTAAAATTAAATTAATTTTAAAATTAAAGATGTAGTATATTAGAAAAAAAGCAATTAAACCTAATATCGTACTTTAAAAGATAGCAAATCTTGAGGAATCACAAATGTGAAATAGAAATAAAATTCATATAAAATGATGCTCAAATACTGAAATAATACAGTATTCTAATCAAAATTAAGTGTTAAACATAAAAAAATCTGGTAGATTGATAGAGCTCTACAAAAGTCTAGATAAAAGTCTGATAGAGTTCTACAAAATTCTTACAAAAGTTGTAAATCAGTTTCTGTAAAATTAAGTAAAAGATTAAATCTCCTATAGTTTTCATGTTATTTATATATCTTTTATTATTATGTATATATCTTTCATTTGATTTAGAAAATTGATCTCACTGGTTATCAAAATTACCTAAGAGTATTCACTGTACTAAACCTGCTTCACACTTCTTGCCCAGAAATGGTAATCATTAATACTTAAGTAGATGTATTATTTTGTTTTATTATCCTTCAACTTCCCTAATACTTCAAGCTTTATTTATTTTGAAGGAATATGATATATTTAATCTTTAATGATTTGGGGGGTATTTTCTCATGTTAATAGAATGAACAACTGTATATCAGTGTTATTTTATGATATATTGTTATTTGGATTTATAAACACTCAAGAGTTATTTGATTTGTTTACTTTTTCTCCATAGGAAAGCTGTTTAAATCTGAGGACTTAACTGACTTTGTACGTTTCTTTTTAATGTTCTACAAAGATAAGCCCATAGACTTGCTCTTGGGGGACATTTTTCAGGTAAAGATGTGTAACCCAGGAGAAACTCCTGTGAGTATTTCTTTACTTTGTAAATGCAAAATATTTTAGGAAAATACTATCTGTCTAATGTAATTCCCTAAAATTTGTTCACCAAACTAAACCTTGATGAATGCATTAATTTTTTGACTTCCGGTATCCAGAACTTTTACTGACATTTATATGTACTTAATGAAGTAATGAAAGGCTACAAATGTAGTGAAAAGTAGAAAAAAGGAGACAAAAAAAAAAAAAACCCAAACAAGTAACAAAATGATGGATGTAAATCCAAATATGTTGATATTTAAATTAAATATAAATGACCAAAATATCACCAATTAAGAGAGAATTCATCAGAATGGATTTAAAAACACTATGCAATTACTTGCTGTCCATATTCAGTTCAAATATAATGATATACATAGGTTAAAAGTAAAAGGTATAAAAAAGAAATACCTGCAGACACTAATCAAAGAAAATCTGTAGTAGCTATATTAATATCAAAGTATACTTTGGTGCAAAAAAACCCAAAAAATTTGACCAGGGATCAAGAAAGATACTACATACTGGTAAAAGGGTCAAATCACCAAGGAGATATGACTATCATAGAAGTGTGTATACATTTAACAACAGAAACTCAAAATACATTAAGCAAAAGATGACAGAACTAAAGGAAAAAATAGATGAGTCTGCAGTTATAGTTGGAGACTTCAACACTCCTCTTTCAGTAAGCAGCAGAGCTGGTAGGTAGAAAACCAGCAAAGAGATAAAAGAATTGAACATCATCTATCTTCTGGACTTAATTGCTATTTTATTTTAAAGGTTTTATTTATTTATTTGACAGAGAGAAAGAGAAAGTGCATGTGCACAAGCAATGGGAGTGGCAAGCAGAGGGAGAGGGAGAAACAGGGCTCAGGCTCAGTCCCGCACCTTGGGATCATGAACTGAGCTGAAGGCTGATGCTTAACCTGCCGAGCCCCTTAATTGATGTTTTAAAAACACTATGTCCAACAGCAATACAAATCATATTCTTTTAAAGTATGTATAGAACATTCACCAAAGTAAACATGTCTTGCATCATAAAACAAAGCTGACAAATATAAGATGAAATCACACACACAAAAAAATGAAACTAAAATTTGACCACAGTGGAATAAAATTAGAAATTGGTAACAGAAAAATAACTGAAAAATCCACAAGGATGTGGAATTTAAACAATACACTCCTGAATAAACCAGAGTGAAAGAGAAAGTCTCTAAAGGAAAATTAGAAAATACTTTGAATTAAATGAAATGAAAATACAACCTATCAAAATTTGTGAGATGCAGCTAAAGCACTACTTATGGAGAAATTTATCTTAGAAGAAACCATTATCTTAGAAGAGAAGAAGATCTCACATTAGTAATTTCAGCTTCCACTTTAAGTCACTAGAAAAAGAAGAGTGAAATAAACCGAAATCAAGAAGAAGAAAGAGAATAATAGCTACGAGGGCAGAAAGAAATGAAACTGAAAACATAAAGGCAGTAGAGAAAATTAATAAAACCAAAATCTTGTTCTTTGAAAAGAGTAAGAAAATGGATAAATTTCTAATAAAACTGACAAAGAAAACCCCAAAACATAAATTATCAATATTAAAATGAAAGAGAGAATATCATGGTATATATGTAGATGTGTGTGTATCTAAATCTAACAAAATATGTAGGTTTATCTATATGCTGAAAACTTTACAATGCTGATGAAAGGAAGAGACATACCATGATCATGGATTGGAGGTTCAGTATAGTAAATATGAAAATGCTTCCTAAATTGATTTATGGACTTAACATAATTCCAGTCAAAATCCCAGCAGGATTTTTTATGGTAGTTGTAGACAAGGTAATTCTAACATTTTTAAGAAAAAGGAAAGGAACTAATTTAGCTAAAATGATTTTGAAAAAAAAAGAATAAAGTCGGAGGCATCACAGAACTCAATTTCAAATTTTATGATAAAGCTACAGTAAGCAAGACAAACATTTATAGTAAAGAGGTAAACAAACAGACCCATGGAACTAAACAGATAATTCAAAAATAGGTCCACAAAATATGGCCAGCTGATATTTGACAAAGGAGCATATGCAATTCAATGGAGAAAGAATAGTCTTCTCAACAAATATATATTGGATTAATTGAAGTTGTGTTTGTGAGTATGTGTGTGTGTATGTGTGTATGATCTCAACCCAAACATCACACTTGATACAAACATTATTTCAAAATACATCATCTATCTAAATATGAAACATAAACTATAAAACTTTTAGAAGAAAGTGTAGAAAAATATCTTCAGGCTCCAGGACAAGGAGAAGAGTTCTTTGGCATGACACTAAAACCATGATCCATTTTTTTTTTCATTGCTAAATTGGATTTTACCCAAATTAAATCTTTTGTACTGTAGATTTTACTGTTTGAGGATAAGGCACCATAGACTAGGAAGAAATATTTGTAAATTCCATATACAGCAAGGATTTATATTCAGAATATATATAAAATTCTTAAAACTTAACAACAGTGAAACAACCCAATTAAAAAAAAGGCACAAGACTTGGGGCGCCTGGGTGGCTCAGTGGGTTAAGCCTCTGCCTTTGGCTCAGGTCATGATCTCAGGGTTCTGGCATCGAGCCTCACATTGGGCGCTCTGCTTGGCGGGGAGCCTGCTTCCCCCTCTCTCTCTCTGCCTGCCTGTCTACTTGTGATCTCTCTCTCTGTCAAATAAATAAATAAAATCTTAAAAAAAAATAGGCACAGACTTGAATAGACACTAGAAAGGCAGTTTTTCCCTTACTGTAATAAGTAATGAACTCAGTTTTTCTTTATCAACATGTTATTTGGGAGGGTATTTTGGGAAGCCAGCATTTGATAATACCATCTCATTGATATTTCTATTAATAACTTAACAAATGTTAGAATTTCTATTTCCTAAAGTTCAACTCCTCAATTAATTTTATCTGAGTATAGTTTCAAATTAAATTAACCCAGGATTATATAATTAAATTACAGTTTCAAAAACAGTCATTTAATGTAATATTTTCCTACATGTGAGTACCAAATAGAAATGCTTTAAGTAAGTTTTCTGTTCAAAAAATAAAACAAAAAAAGCAATCTACTGAATGGGAGAAGATATTTACAAATCTGATAAGGGGTTACATATATCTGATACGAGGTTCATATCCTAAATATATAAAGAACTTATACACCTCAACACACACACACACACACACACAAATCTAATTTGAAAAAATGGGCAGATAACCTGAGTAGATCTTTTTCCAAGGAAGCCATACAGATAGGAGTGCTCAGCCAGTTAAATGTCTGCCTTTGGTTCAAGTCATGATCTCAGGGCCCTACAATCAAGACCCACATCAGGCTCTCTGCTCAGCAGGGAGTCTGCTTCTCCCTCTCCCTCTATGTGAACGCTCTCTCAATCTCTCTCTCTCTTAAATAAATAAATAGCCATACAGATGGCCAACAGATACATGAAAAGATGTTCAACATGACTCATCATCAGGGAAATGAAAATCAGAACCACAATGAAATAGCACTTCACACTGGTCAGAATGGCCAAAATAAAAAACACAAGAAATAACAAGTGATGGCAAGGATGTAAAGAGAGAAAAACAACAACAACAACAACAAAAACACCCTGTATGCTGCTGGTGGGAATGTAAATTGGTCCATCCACTATGGAAAACATGGAGGTTCCTCAAAAAATTAAAAATAGAATTGCCATATGATCAAATAATTCCACACTAGATATTTACCCAGAGAAAACCAATACTAATTAGAAAAGATACATGCACCCCTATGTTTTTGCAGCATTTTTTACACTAGCCAAATTATGGAAGCAGCCCAAGAGTCCATCCATAGAGGAATGGATAAGGAAGATGTGATATATATACCCAATGGAATATTATTCAGCCACAAAAAGTGAAATCTTAACATTTGCAACAACATAGATGGAACTAGAGAGTATAATGTTAAGTGAAAAAAAAATCAGAAAAAGACAAATATGATATGATTTCACATATGTGCAATTTAAGAAACAAAACAAATGAGCAAAGGAAAAAAGGAGACAAACCAAGAAATAAACTCTTTGTGTGGGTGGGGGAGGATCAGAGGGAAAGGGAAAAGGAGAGACAGAATCTTAAGCAGGCTCCATGCCCAGCGTGCAGACTTGACTTCACAACCCTGAGATCATGACCTGACTGAAATCAAGAGTCAGACACTTCACTGACTGAACCACCCAGGTGCCCCAAGAAATAGATTGAACTATAGAGAACAAACCGGAGATTACCAAAGGGAGGTAGATGGGATGAGTGAAATAAGTGAAGGGAAGTAAGAGTGCAATTACCATGATGAGCACCGAGTAATGTATAGAATTGTTGAATCACTACATTGTACCCCTGAAACTAATATGATTCTGTATGTTAACTATACTGGAATAAAAATTATGTTAATTTTACTGGAAAATGGCATCTGGGTGGTTCAGTCAGTTGAGCATCTGACTATTGATTTGGGCTTGGGTCGTGATTGCAGGATCATGAGATCCAGCCCTGTTTCTGGCTCTATGCTTAGTGGGGAGCCTGCTTGAGATTTTGTCTCTCCCTCTCTCTGTGCCCCTCCCCACTGGGTGTTTACTCTCCCTAGCATGCATGCACACACACTCTCTCTCAAATAAATCTTTTTTAAAAAATTGAGTATATAAGCTTGAGATGTATTTTTATGAATTTTCTGTGTATACAGTATATAAAATAATTATCAAAAATCATAATTTCAGATGTTTTCTTCTAATAGGAAAGGTGTCACAGGTCATCTTTCTTTTTATTTTAATGAGAATTACCAAATCTTTTTTCATAAAATATAATATTGGTTCTTCATTTTAATCATGTGTTTTTATACTTAAGAAGAAATTAAAGAAGATATAGCTCAGTTTAGGAATTAATGACTATGGAAAGAGAAAGAATAATGTAGTCTGAGAGAAATAGAAAAATATGAAAAAATTTCATCTATGTTATTGAAATAAAAAGAAGGGAGCAGAAGATTATAGTTGTTACAACAGTAGCCTGATTTTCTAAGGCAGAGTTCAGGAAAATACATGCTTTAACTAAAACCTTTTTATATCTCAACTTGTGTTTTATTATCCTTATGAAGGAAAAGCTAAGAAATAAAGTTTAATGTAATTTTTAAATATCAAAATAAAAACCTAATATAATACAAAAACTAATATAATACAAAATTCTGCCATCCATAAATGCAATCAAAAGAAGTATTTGGGTTGTTACAGAAGATTGTTGTTTCTCTTATTTTTCCCTAGGAAAAATGTGCAGAACGGAATAAGCAAATTCGTATTCGATATAAGCCTTCTCTTTTCCAGCATGTGGGTATAGAGTCATCACTCACTGGCGAAGAACAAGATTCCAAAGTAAGATTTTGAAATGTATCTTGAGTAATATACAATGTCTCATGAACTTATAAAATATTGTTTAGGAAAGGAGAAATGAAAACTTGAGACTAAAATATGGTTGTTTAAACATAATTCATCTTATGATAACTGTATGTTGGGCAGAGCAATTTTCTTTTCAAGACCCAACTTATCTGTCATGGTAAGAAAAATCTAGCCTATGTAAACTTCTTAGTTTTACTGTTACCAGCTATGCAATGCAAGTAATTGACAAACATGTTTTAAAAATCATAATAAAAGTCACCATCTTAGTCTAATATTTAAAGTTATAGAATATTTCTGAGTAAAATGCTCCTATTATTGAACTGAAATGTATCAATATTCTTCTTTAAGATTACTGAGATCAACAAAATAATCAACAAAAATTCAAACAAAAATTGTTTGATTTTTTAATCATTCTTTAATTTGCCATCTTTTTTGGAAGCAATGTTATTTGTAATTGACTTAACATGTTGGTAGGGCAGAAGCAGCAAAGACTTCAGAGTCAAAACAACTAGGTTTTAGTAATGGTGGCTTATGTACATGATATTGGGCAAGCCCTAACACTCTGTGCTTTTTTCATCTCTAAGAGAAGTTTAAATTAGATGATCTTTAGGATGTTTCCCACCTTTGTAATCTCTCCCTTCTTAGTTTCTTCACACGACAAAGCAAGTGATAGCTTTAACCCTTTGTCGGTTAAGATGAGAGAAATGCACATACACATACTCCCATCATTTCATTCATTTTTTTATGACCTGCCCTCTTTCCACCTTTTCTACTCCTTATCTCTATGTGTTTATTGCACTGCACTCTTTGGAACGCTGTCTGAAACATAGTGTGGATTCAGTAAATGTTAGCTGTTAGCAGTTAGGCAAAGTGAAATTCTAGATTAAAAGTGTTCATTAAGCAAAACAAACAAGCTCCAGGAATAATGAAAATTTAACTGTTATGAATGTTCATACAACAAATAACACCATGAAAATAAATAAAACATAGACACAGGTGATGTAGAAAGAAACTGTCTATGCCATTCTGTTTGTTGGTGCTGTTATAATGGGACTCTTTTTTTTTTCTTCTATTATATTTTTTGTTGGATAAGCTATTTTAACCTTACCTTTTGTAAATTCACAACAGACTAGAATATTTATCTAATCATTCATAGTTTGATATTATAATCTAGCTTTTTTTCTTTTTTATACCTCACCTCATGTGAAATAGAAATAAATAACAATTTAATGATATGTCAAATGTGATCGTATATTTTCAAAATCTATATTATTTTAATTGTCAAAATTATTTAATTATATATATTAATTATTTAATTATATTATTTTAAAATTTTCTAACAGGATATTTATTATTAGGAGCTTCATAATTCAAATACCTTCTTTAAAAATGATGAACATCATTCTTTGGAAAAAATGGCATAATAAGGATTAGTCTTAGCTCTCAACTTACTTCATAGTGGATAAGAGACTATATCATATAAAAAATTTTAAGCCTTTGATAATATAGTAAATATAAAATAGTAAGTATAAAAATTGATGTATAAAAAATTATCAGATATTTGTTTTAGTAAGTATGAAACTGATATATAGAAAATTATCAGGTATTTGTTGGCCTTAATTTATAATCGTGTTTTGTGTATTTTAAAATCATTTACAGATAACTTTCTGATATACTAATATTTGTTTTAGAAGAATGAATAAGTATTTTCTTTTCCTTTTTTATCATATACTGTAGACATACAATGAATTTGGAGGCAATAGATTTGAGTTTGAAGCCTCATTTTTTTTTAAGATTTTTATCTATTTGAGAGAGAGAAAGCGCGCACATGCAAGCAAGGGGTGAAGGAGGGGGAGGGGCAGAGGGAGAGGCAGACTCCCTGCTGAGCAAGGAGCCCAATGCTGGGCTCATCCCAGGACCCTGGGATCATAACCTGAGCTGAAGACAGACACTTAACCAACTGAGCCACCAAGCACCCCTGAAGGCTCATTCTTATCAATAGTTGTAACAATATGGATGAATCTCTAAAGTTGTATTATGCTAAATGAAAAAAGATGCGAAAGACTATATACTGTATGATTCAATTTGTATGGAATGCTAGAAACGGCAGATCCTGATATCTCATTATGATTTTAATTTGCATTTCTTTAATGACCAATGATGTTAAGCATCATTGCTAGTTGCTTGTGTGTGTACATATATAAAATACATAGATTTTTACAAAATGTAGATTTTAATGAAATGTATGTATATGTTCTGTGAAGTGTCTTATTGAGTATTTGACCATTTAAAAAATGGGTTGTTCATCTGTTTATTTTTGAATTGTTATAATTCCATATATAGTCTGACCGCAAGTCTCATCTTATGGCTTTCTCTTTCATTTTTTAAATTTTGTTTTCTTTCAATGAATGAAAGATTTTAACTTTGATAGAGTTCACTCCACCCAAACTCCACTCTGTCCATATAGTTATGTCAGTGGTTAGCTCAGTATTCAGTGATTTTATGAGAGTATAAATGCTGTTTACACTTAAACTACATAATATCCTTTATTTTTCCTTTATTATACAACTTTTTTTGGAGGTTTTTTTTTAAGATTTTATTTATTTATTTGAGAGAGAATGAGAGAGAGAGAGAGAGAGAGCATGAGAAGAGGGAGAAGCGGACTCCCTGCCAAGCAGGGAGCTTGATGCGGGACTCAATGCTGAGACTCCAGGATCATGACCTGAGCCGAAGGCAGTTGCCCAACCAACGGAGTCACCGAGCCGCCTCTTCTTTTGGAGTTTTAAATTGATTTTATTTCAATGTACTTATCACTAATTCACCCTTAGATTCCCTGTGAATTATCTAAATCTGTTCTTGGTATATTCAAACATTTTAAAATCATGGATAAATGTTGAATATCGTCAAGTGCTTTCTGCATTCCTACTCCTTCTTAATCTTGAAAAATACCTCTCCTTCAGCCTTCTGACCAGTTCTAGAAGATATCTTAAGAAACTGGGGGTTGATTTTCCTGTTTTCTATATCCCAAATCTGTATCATACTTGGTCTACTTGTTTGTTTAGTAAAGCACACCCTCCAGTAATTTCTTGAGAAAGACTGTGTAGGAAGTGAATTCTTGGAGAAGTAAAACATCTTGAAATTACTACAGTCTGTCAAACTTAATTGTTAGGTTGGCTAGGCAAAGAAATCTGAATTCTGATTCTTGAAGGTATTCAAGAGTGTAACCAATGAAAAGTAATTAAAGCCACTTTAATTCCTGTTTCTTGGTATAAGAACAATTTTCCCATCTGTAAACCTTTAATATTTGTCTTGTATTTAAGGTTTTACAATTTCATGATGATAGGTCTATTTGTATTGATTGTGATTCATATTTGGTAGAGCTTTTTAAAGTGAAAACTCATGTTTGGATTCTGGAAAATATTTGCAAATTATTTTATTGATAAATTTTCTCCTCTATTTTCTATGTTCTTTTTAAGGATCCCTATTTTGACTGTTGGATTCCTTGGATTGATGTTCTCTCTCTCTCTCTCCCCTTTCCCCTTTCTCCCTCCTGTTATCTTTCTTTTTGCTTCACTTTCTGAAAGTTTTTGTAAATTTCATCTTAAATCCTTTTTATTAGTGCTTTTTTGGGGGGGAGGGCAGTTTTCGTTGATTGATTGATTATTGTTTTTGTTATTATAGCTTTAATGTCTAAGAACCCCTTTTGTGCTCCTAATGCCATTGTCCCCTCTTTCAACACTCAGTTCTTATTTTATGATTGAAATACTTCCACTTAACCCTCTGAGGATTTTAATAGTTTTTTTTTAAGATTTTTAAAAATTTCTTCTTCCTGCATAGTTTCTATTTCCTCCAAGTTGTTTTTTGTTGTTGGTGGTCTCTGTTCTTCAAGTTGCTGAAGGTTTTCCTCATGTATGTAGTGATATAGATTGAACGTTCAAATGGAGAAAGCTGGTTGGAGGCTCTGAGCACATGGCAGAACCTGTCAGTTTCACCGTCGAGGTCGGAGTGGCTAGGCTCTTTCCCAGAGAATCACCTGTGTTAGTGCCTCCCAGTCTTGCTGCATGGGCTAGTCAATTTGCTAGAGAATCGGGGAGACAAGTGGGCAAAGATAGCTGGGCTTTTGGTGTTCACTTTGTCAATATTTACTTATTTATTCTGCTTTCTTCTCCTCCTCCTCCTCCTCCTCCTCCTTCTTCTTCTTCTTCTTTTTTTTTTTTTTTAAGATCTATTTATTTATTTATGGGCAGGGAGGCACAGAGGGAGACTGGGAGAGAGAATTTCAAGCAGACTCCCTGGCAAGCGTGGAGCCGGATGCGGGACTAGATCTCGCAACCCTGAAAACACGACCCTGAGATCATGACCTGAGCCAAAATCAAGACTTGGACACTTAACGGACTGAGCCACTCAGGTGCCCCTATTTGTCCCATTTATCGTTATTATCCTTACCCTGGTTTGAGTCTAGATACATACCCTATGTTTGCCTTTTCAGAGAATTATCCTTCGAGAGTGAAGAAAAGATCATCACCTGGCTCCGAGGATATTTAGAGCTTTACCCACCACTGCGACTTGCAAACCATCCTCTTAGTTCTACCCCCTCTTCACCTCCGTTTCTAGCAGTAGGGGGGGTTCTGCCCTTGGGAATGTGCTTCTCTGCTCCCTACTGGCAGCTTGGGACACAGCTCTCTCACACCTCCATTTGGTTGCCATTGTCTGCTTTGCCATTCTGTCTGTAAGGTCATGCATCTTCAGCTGGCCCTTATGGTTAAGTGTGATTTCTAGAAAGAGTGAAAGTAAATACTTGCATCTGATTCATCATCTTTATGGGGCACCCCGCTGGTTCATTCTTGAACTTTCACTTTTTGGCTCATTTGGTTTTTAACTTCCAAAAATAAAATCTTAATTTCCAGGATTTCCAGTTGATTCTTTTTATATACACAATATCCTTCCTAGCATTCAGAGAAAATTAATTTACACTTAAACAGAAGTATAATAGTATATGTGTAATTCATTATTTTAACTGCTTCTTATACTTATTGTCTGTTGTTAATTCTACATCATTGCTGTCCTCCTCTCCACTTTGCTTCTCACAGTAAAATTGGGGGAGTACACCTCACAGAATGTCTTTCCCTCACAGAGTGCTATGTTAGGTTGTCAGTGAGAGGTACTCTCAGTAGACCTGGAAAACAGTCGCCAAGAGGGCAAGAGATGCCTGCTGTAGACAGGAATTTGAGTTCACACTTGCTGCCTGGCCAGCTGAGATCCCTGGTGGCTTCTCCTGGCTTCCAGGGTTCTCATAATGGCCCGATATACTGCTGAGGATTTCCAGTTTCCACAAGTGGCTTCTTGACATTTGCTCCCGTAACTCTTCTAAGAGTTGAGTTCACCTCTAGTTCATTCTAGCTGCATGAAGCAGATTTCTTTCTTCCAAATACCTCAAGTGGCATCTGTTTCTTTGACTGAACTCAGATTCTTGGGATCTGCTGCTACTTGTGTTTCACATACCCTCAAACTTAAGTTTTGTTTCTTACTTATTGAAACTCTTTGTTGTTTTGTCTGTGAATGTTGAGTCTGTTTTCCGTAGACTTTTTCCAGTATTTATGGGAGGAATGGGCAGTCCAGGGCTCACTCTGTACAGAAGCTTTTCTTCTGAGTAGAGAAGACCCATTCTTTTTGGGTCTGGTTTTCTTCTTCACAAACACCTGTACTCTGTGCCCTACTGGGCAATGATCATTTGATGTCTGCTGCTCGGCATAAGCATGTATGTTCCAACTGTAACTCTGCAACTATTTCCAGTGCCCCTGCCTGTAATCACTGTAATCCCTGTAATCACCAGCTCTGAGCTTGGGTCATCCTTAGAGCCACGCTCACCTTTCTACTAGCTGGCTCCTATGTGGTTTGGAATTTGAATTCTTCCCCTTCTAACCCAGCCTCATCTGCTTCCCATTTAACATTCCGTCTGCATGGTTTGTATGGATGGGAGTGGGTTCATGCTGAATTACCTTTTGACACTTCAATAGTAAAAGGGGCATATAATATATAATCAAAAGTATGCATTATTTATACACATACCACTTCAAGGACATGTGGCACCATTTCCATGAAGATAAACCTGCATTCTATGTGTTTCAGTTAGACCTGCATCATATTAAAAGGTGTTTTTCTTTTTTAATAGGACTGAGATGGACAAAAGCTTGAAGAAGGTAGCTCAACTGGTAAATTTCCCGGGAGCCTTTATCTGTTGTGCTCTCAGTCACCTGTCTTTCTCTTTTACTCGCTCCTTTCAGAATGTCTCCCTTTGTTCCTTCAAGAACAAGAAGACCACCACCACCACCTCATAGTTTCCCTCCCACATTAGGAATTTGAAATGCCTTCAGCATCCTCCATTGCAACCACATTTCCCTCTCCAAAACAGTTTCAGGGAAATAATGAGCTGTCTATTTGCTAAGAATTCTAGATATTTAAAATTAGATGTTTCCAAACTGAGGAAAGAGTTGGAGAATAGATTA